GTTGACACCCCTACACTTCCCAACACAAACTCTTTTAGTTAATCAAGGGGATGAGTCACATTGGAAGTTAAATAAGTGTGAATACATGGCAATTATTCCTCAACAAACTCAGTATGAGATTCAAGAAATAAAATGTTACTTTTACTAGTGAAATGTCAGAAATTGAGATGAGCGGCAGTATACAAAGGTCACTGCCCTGAGCACAACACTTGCTCTGGGAGAAGCATAAACAATCCTAAGAAATGGAATACATGTCTGCTATTTATTTTTACTTGACTTACCCTCAGGTAGCTGTCATAGTTCTTTAGAGTATCTCTATACAATGCACTCATCAACATGACACTCAACTGCTTTGACTATGTTCAAGAGACTGAGCATCAAAAGATCAAAAATCACTGCATGATGCCATTGAACAGCCTGGTCTGTAAGTATTATTACACAGCAGTTGCAATGCCCAGTGTTGGCATTAAAACCTGGCCACTCACTAAAACTGAAGTAGCAACACAGAAGCTTTTTGTCTTTTGTGACAAAAACTTTCTAATTTCATATTAAGCTTTAAACCCCTTATAAACTGCACTTACTACAAATATATTCCAAGTGTAATTTATAAAAAGGAATTTATTCAGCAGAAGCCCTTATCCAGGGTGACTTAGAATACACAAACTTAATTTACAGCAATAATTATGTAAATTCAACAAGTTTAAAAAACAAGATGTAGGCCAATGCCATGTGGAACAGCAACATAAGTCTTCTAAAACCTAAATCCACAAGATACAATCTATACGAGGACACATTTTTGTCACATTAAATATTTGTACAATTCACATTACACTCACCAATAAAAATAAATCGTACATTACACTGTTCTTACACCACCACAGATTTAACATGATAGGTAGCTTCAAATAATATGCATCATTGCATTTTCACAACTGATAAAGTATAACATCTGCAGGTTTTCACTATGCACATCCAGAACTTTTTTTAAACTAAAGCCCTCTCATTCACAAAATATATTCCGGATGCATTTTCATAGACTGTGGTACAAAGCAGCTTGGGTCTTATTTTCCATTAAATCCAGAAAACTTGAAATAAAGTGGAAACTTTCTCTTTTCTGACAGGTTCTCAAAGCAGCAAAGGAAGGGAGGCAGTTCATGTGAACTGACTCGGCGGTGACAGAGTGAAAGGAAAAAAACACTCTGTCACTCTGGTACGAAAACTGATTTTTAAGAGAGTTTAAATTTAGATCTGGCGGGATGAGGGTGACTGTCAAAAAATTCTCCCATAAGCCCCAGCAAAACTAAATTAACGTATACATGTATATAAAAAATGAAATCACATACATTAAAATATATATTAAAAATTGTACCATACTCACTCTGCCCTCCTTATGTTATATGGAATATTTTAATGACAGGGTATTTATAAATAGTTGTTAAGCATTCAGAAACTACTTTGCAATAATGCATCAGCCAAATAAAACACCAATTATATAGCAAATTATTATTTTTTTTTACATTCAAACAGCCCTGTCAAAGACAAGACCAGAATAAGTACATCCTAAAGCTACCCTGAAGAGTGCTGTACTATGGGAAAGAAGGCTTATGTAAGTTCCCTTGCAGGAGAAGTGATAGCTAGGTCACATACCTATGGTACAATCTAAAGACTACAGCAGACCTAATGGCTAATGTGTCAATTCATTACAACCTCAAGGCTTTACTTGCAGTGGTTTGCAGACAAGTGAAAAACACCAAATGGAAGCATGCTTCAGTTGTCCCAGTTCCCCATGGTCATGGGAGAATATTAATGGAGTATACATCGTGACGTGCTATGGCTGCACTACTCTTTAATAGTGCCGTGTGCACTAAATAAGGAATGGTTTTAGCACTGAGCACTAATTTAGTTGACAAACAAATACATTTTAACACAAATCCTTAGATTGTTTTCATTAGTTTGTAGAATGAACAGGAAAGGGAATTAGACCAGATTTCCCAAAACCAATGCCCCAGCATGTTGATCAAGGTCCCAGTGTCGACCTTCACTGAGACACTAAGCCAAGACTTAGTCATTAGATTTCAATGTTTGTAAGTGAACTATGAGTTATTTTCTCACTCCTCCACCTGATCTACAATGTACTGGAGCCACAGGCACACAATGGCAGCCCTGTGACATCCTGATAGACACTGCAGTGCAGGATGAAATGAGACCCCCTGCTAAATGCGAAGACCCTTGGAATCCTTTGAGATGAAAAGCACAATAGAAAAGCAAGGAATTGTTATAATTATTACAGTACTACTGAAGGAACCAGAATAGAGGTCTTTGGATGATAACACTTTTCTTAAGCTGTAGCATTTCCCAGTTCCATTTAATACATAACATAGCTTTGGCTGCAAACTATAAGAAATGCTGAAAAAAAACAACCTATAATCATGACAGCCTTTCAAAAACATCACAGTTCATCAAAAGTAAAACACAGAAGCACAAACCCTTCAATATCTTTCCTCAAACCTTTCATCACTTTGTGAAAAAAAATGTTTTCTCCATCATCGAGACTGATTATTGTATAATACTGAAAGATAATTACAACCCTTAAATCTACCAACCCAGCATGACTCTATGACAGGTCACCATCTTAGTCCACTCTTTCAAATTAAGCTTTGAATTGCAGAGACACAATTATTGGACTTTTAGTTAAAAAGTGGTAAAAGAGACACAGAGATCAAAGAAAAATAAATTATCTCAAACTGCACCAGTTTAATGCCACCAATCACACACTCCTGTCATTTCATATTCCTCACAGTGGAAGTACAAAAATTGAAGACACTGCCTGAGAGAGCTGCGCATCCAGACTAAAACAGTCTTAATTCATGATCCACTGCTCTGAAAAATAGGACTGAAATGTAGACCCTTGCTCTTTCTTTATTGAACTTTATTCAGTGTACTCCCCAAGAGACAAGTCATCTGTCTTGGGAGGCAAGCCTGAAAGCTCTGCTGGTCAGAAATTAAAAACTAAATGGCCTTTCCCGACATCCAGCAAACCTTTGCACAAAAATAAACATTCCTGGAGTTGAAGACTGAAAAGGGTTTGCATTTGTATCAGTGGCTCTGAAGAGGAGTTCCTCATTTGCAACTTGAGGATTGGGCACTGTTTTCATTTGATATAATGGGTACAGCCAGAAGACTAATAAAATTAATACTAATAGAAATGTTTGTTTAAAAAGTATAGTTTCTCCTAAGAATGTAAAAATAAGCATTCTCTCTAAACATGAACTGTATTTAAAGTATCAATGGGTCAATGTGTCAATCATTAGTTTCTTTAAATATCTCAGTATTTAACCCTTTGTTCAATGTGGAAACTACACTCGAAATTAAAGGAGAAACCTATAGTTCTATAGTTGTACTGTTGCGTAATATACACATACACATGTAATTCATTGGTAGCCATTACTTAAAATGGAACCCTTTTGTGATTGTTCAAACCGCCATAATAAGGAAAAACAAAAGAACAACTCGGTATATGTGAATGTAAGTTTATGTTTAAAAATGTTAATATCAGTTATCTTAGCTCTTGCTGTGTTAAAAGTTCTGTGCAATATTATTGAAGCTCTGCAGTCCGACCTGGGTCAAATACTAAGCAAAGCCTCATTCTAACTGGCAGAAGGCTGTCAGGTTGACAGAAGAGTATCTGCAATAATTCCCAGCACAGACAGCAGGTAATGGTGATGAGACAGAGACAGATCAGTTTGCCTTTGGGTGCTGTTTGTGGTCTGAATACACAGTGTTGCAGAAAGATCGTGAAATCAGGGATTTCACAACATTCTTTAACATTTAATCAGGGATTTCACAAAATCCCTAAATGTTTCAGTAAAAACACTATATCCTTGTGTTTTTAGAACTCCCTTGATTTCACACAGCTACTTTAAAACTTAAATGCTGTACATATGTGAACACCATTGTGAAAAAATAGGTGTTTTCTCTGTAATGTACATTATATGCATAATTCAGATTACATTTAATTTATTTCTTAAATTAACAGAGGCCATAACTTTCGAACATTATGGAAAGTTTCTGAATAATATAGCTGAAAATCACAGAGCCATCTTCTGGTGATCTGGGTGTATAGCACACATTTTCTAGGGAGAGTGGGATTAGAATTACAAACAGGTTTCCACAGCAATGTCACGGATAGTTCACATGACACAGAAGCTGAGGACATACCTTTAAAGATCTAAACGTAATGAGAAAACCTGAATTATTAAAAGTAACCTCTGCATATTATTATAAATGCAATACTGTTTTTAATGATTATGATATAAAAGTAAGTAATGTTCTTTCAGTTGCTTCGAGAGCAAGACAGAGACTAAATTATAGCCTGTATACTGCTGAAGGAATAATGTTCTCATTGCATACTGTTGTTTTGCATTGTTACAGTATCACAAAAAATGCAAATCAATGGGAACACTGCAGAAATAACAGCATCAATGGGGAACAAGGAAAAAACCTGCCAAGCAGAAAAAGAGAATTCTGCCATTAAATCAAAAAAGAACTAAAATGAAGTTTTCTGAAATTATCTGAACATAAAAGAAATCATTTGGACAGCTGCTTAAATTATATTCATAAACGTCATACTTTTTCAATGCACTGTAGAGGAAATAAGTTCAAGTCAACTGTATTGTTAAAATAGTCTTATTATCTACTTTCGTGTGAAATATCTCGTAAAAGGTATGGAGCATTGCCAAGAACATTTCTGAAAGTAAAAACTACAAGAACAAAATGATTAGTTCTCGTTCACAGTTATAACATTAAAATCATTTTTTTAAGGTGTTTGCCGAGTACCTTCAAAGTTAGTCATTGTGGAATATCAAGGTTTACCCACATCATTTCTAATATGAGATTCAGAATGATGTGGTTTTATTTTTTCATTACTATATTGTTTTCTTAGTTGTCAATATTTTTTAAAAAAAGGAAAAAATGGGTACATCAAAAAACAAATAACTCACCACAAGATCTGGATCCTGCATCAAATTCAGAATGGCTTCATATAACTGGGGTCTTAATTCAGACTTAAATTTCACAGAAATCCATTGTCCAATCAGCCAAATCACCCTTCTTCGTATGAGCTTGTATCTGGAAATTGGGAAACGAACATTTAAGCTGAGAAATACTTTAGCAAAGCATTAATACAGAATATATTACTTTAAAAAAATTAGTTATTTAAAAGATTCAATATTACATTACCTTAGGCAAAAAAAATGTAGCTCTGATGCTAAATATCTATTTCGACGGACATTCTGCAAACTCAAACAGGCAATTACTACATCAGGTATTTTAAGTATTTTGCATTCGAATAACATACGTCATGTTCCATCCATACGTTTTCTAAATGCTTTTTCCAATACAAAGCCGCAGGGGAGCTGGAGCTAATCCCGGCAAGCAACAGGCACGAGTCAGGACACAACTGTGATAGGACGCCAGTCCATCGCAGGGGCAGACACAGACATAGACACATTCACACGAGGGCCAAAGTTCCCAAATGCCAACTAACCTACCAGTATGTCTTTGGATGGAATGAGCCTGGAGCACCTGGAGGAAACTCACACAAACATGGGGAGCACCACAGGAATTGAAGGCAGGGCCCCATGCATCACCATGCTACCCATAAGTTATACAGTCAATATATTCAATAAGACAAATAGGTACTTATTTTCCCCATTTCATAGTTTATGAGTACTTTTTCTGACACACATTAACATGTACTTCATTGTTCACCAAAGTATTTAACATTTTGTAAACTGTAATGTTATTTCTTAGTTTATTTTTTTCTCCTGTGATTTATTTCTTTTCAAGAATTTACCTGTCTGGATTAAAGCTTAGCTCAACGTTCAGAATACAGATCAACTCTGTACTCAGGACGTTTCATAATTGCTTTATTGCAGAAATGTCCTGATGTTGAAATCTTTGTTGAAAAATTAATTTGGCACTTCTATTTAAGGAAAACATTGTTATCTTTTTGTTATCAAGAAAAAAAAGTTGATAAGAGAAGGATTTCAGCTTTTAAAGCTGTTGCCAAATCTCAGATGTACAGGACAGGCACTTTATCTTTCATCAATGAAATCACTAAAGAAAAGTCACTTTCAAAACAGACAGACTTCATCATCTGACAAGTTCTGTAATGAGAAAGTGCCAGGCTTCATGACAGGATATAAGACTATCCTATATAGCTATATCACCCTGTAGCTCTCAACTGGCCACCCACTGAAGCTAAGCAGGGTTGAGCCTGGTCAGTACCTGGATGTGAGACCTCCTGGGAAGCTGTGGTTGCTGCTGGAAGTGGTGTTAGTGGGACAAGTGAGGGGCGCCCACCCTGCAGTCTGTGTGGGTCCTAATGTCCCAGTGTAGTAACAAGGACACTATAGTGGGCGCCGTCTTTTGGATGAGACGTTAAACCGAGGTCCTGACTCTCGGTGGTCATTAAAGATCCCCGGGCATTTCTCGAGAAGAGCGGGGAGTTATCCCGGTGTCTGGGCCAAATTTTCCCCTTTGGCCTTTGCTGTGGGCTCCAAATTGTCTCCATGTATGATTGGCTTACACTTGCCCTGTGATGGACTGGAGCCCCGTCCAGGGTGTATCCTGCCTTGTGCTCGTTGCTTTACTATAGATGGTATTAAGCAGTTTGGTAAATGACATGACATTTGTACCCAATTCTAGACCACATTTTGCTCTCAAAAATGACACTTCAAACTTATATATGGCTTCTTAGACATAAAACTAGAAAATTAAAATAAAAAATACCCAGAAAATTACCACCTTTCAACTCCCTGTTGTACTTTTTGATACAAGCGATTTAATTTCCCAGAAACTAAGCTATTCAGAGAAACAACAGTAAAAAGAAATGACAGGCAAAAGGAATTATGCATCTGCTTAACAGATACTTTTATCTACTCAAAGGGTACTCATGAACAAAAAGAAAAAAAGGACTGAATTTGCTAACTATGGCAAATAGTGGAAAACAGGAACTTTTCACTCTCTCAATCAGTCTGTCGGTAGTAAACCTGATTTGAATACCGCTTTCCCCTTCATTCAGAGGGTACTTTGAACGTGTTAGCCTTGAAGCCTTGAAATCTAGTAGTTCACACTGAGCCTTTGGCTTCTGTCACATATTAATAAGCTGTGCCCCACTAAGGATAGCAAGGTCACCACCCATATCACACAAAGGAGATTTGGCTCTTCCTCAAACAGAAAGGGTGTTGCACTGAGTTTAAAATGTAGCCCTGGGATTACAGAGGCCTGTCAGGAACCTCTTAAAGACAAAACAGTGAAAGAATCCTCAAGACTTTCATCAGCAAACTGAGTCAATTCTTCCTAACAGCTTTTCACACCTAGATCAAGTGTGTGTTCATTCACGTCAGAGTGTGAAAATGGCCAAGTGTGAAACACCTAAAACTGCCATTTACATTAGAATGCAGACCAAACAAAGAAACTAGGGTTCACATAATCACAGAAAAAGTGGTTCCGTTCATTTGAGCAGTGGCCAACAGAATTAAGAATTCACATTATTTTAGCTTAAAATACAACAAAGAGGAGGTAATTTATTGTCCACTGTCCACTACATAAAGAAAGTTACATAACAATACATCATAATAATGTGTTTTTATCACTGTTACATTAAGTTTAAACTCAGTATGGAATAGGTTTGTCTGATACACTTGCTTATCATATCGCCAAAAACTCCACATCCCTCATATTTTCCAAATTCCTTAGACCTGCTCAACATGTGAAGTCACAATATTGTTATAATTGTCATTAATAACAGTAGAATCATAGTACTCAAAAGAATGATAATAGCAACAGCAGCAAAATATTAAAGAGACAATATTTGACTATTACTAGTAATATTTTACAGGTTGGGGGGAAATGATGTAGCATCACTGTGCCCAGGAAGCAGATGTTTGTTTGTTTTGATTTTTTTTCCCATGCAAACAATTAACAGAGCAATCAAGCTATCTCCATAGCTTTCAGTTCTAAAATATGTTTCACTTTTATACCACACTCAACCCCCCATGCTGAAAGTGAACATCGTCACAAATACAATTATGCCAACCATACAATGTAACTAAAATAACTAGCAGTTAAGCATGGTACAGGTTATGTATCAAAATATAAATATTGCCTTTTAAAGAAGAAAATACAGAATGAAAGTATTTTTGCAAACCAATAAAATACTAGGAAAATAAAATGTATACTCATTAGAAATAACCTTAATAACGTAAGGCTATTTGCTCAACTGCAAATCACCATTAAGATACCTATTACCGAGTCTCTTCCTACAAGTCTAACAGCTACATAATGCCTTCTGGGATATCTTAAGACTCTGAGGTGCTCAACAAGTACTTATTAAACTACTTATTGACAGGAACACTAAACCCCCTGCATAGAGAATGCGAAAGATATATATCAAAGAGAATTAAATCCTAGCATCTGTCTGGATGTGCTCCATATTTAGGAAATGAAAAGTTGAAAAAACAAGATTTGTTTTACACTTTAAAAATACATATAGATAGAAATTTCCTGATAGAATGCCTCCAAACTGACCAAATGGGAAAGGATCCTGCAATATAAGTATACATGTTGCATTTCTGTAAATCCTATATAGTATAAAGTAATTCAAATGGGACCATTCACATGGCAAAATGAAAAGTCAGTTTTGACAGAGCACAAGCTGCAGAGTCATAATAAAAGGAGAATTTCTGAGCTCAGAGGCCATAGAAAAGGCACTGCATGAAAATCATATGCCAGGGTTAACAATCTTTAACATTGATGAAATAAGCATTACAGAAATTCCTGTAATGTTGATGGAAACATATTTCACTTTTATTCAGGTTCAGAGATGTTAAAGCTGGCACTCCATTTTTGACCAGCATACAGATTCTGATACTTATGCTCTGCTAACTGTAACAGTGGTAAATGCAAGCAGAAATAAATGTGCTGCTACATAAATTCAGATGACTAGACTCCGTGAAACCAGCAAGCTGTTCTGGTGACTGTTTGCATTCTTATTGTTCATAAATGACAAAGGACATGAAGTAGAAACCAAACACTCAGTAAAGTTCAGCAATATTACTCGGCTACCTCACTGAACTATTAATTAAGAGGTACTATTGCGAGAGAAAGTTGAGACCTTCAGGATTAAAAAAAAATGATAATAAAGGCTCACTTTAGCACTGTTGATGTTTCACAAATAATAAAAATTGCTATCGCATCAAGCAAAGCCAAAAACTGTATTAACACACTCATACACTTGCCTGTTGAGGTTCCAGTGAAAGGGTACAGATTTATGTTTGTTTATGGGAATATGTGAGACAATTAATTTTAATTAAAAAATAATTAGTGAAAACGTACTTTACATTTCCTAAAATGACTTAAATATGCCACTAAACATGGAAGAGATGCATATACTGTATAAGATGTGCCGATAATTACCACTCAACAGCAGACTTTGAAGCTTGGACAATAATCTCACCAAACCAAATTAGAAACGGAGAGTTTTAATTACTTATTAAATTAATTTCTGACACACAAACAAATGATATTTTCTTATTTCTTTTTATATCTCTTGCAATTTTCTAGGTCCATTATACATGATTACTTATGACAGACACCATTACTATCTCCAGTGATGGCTACACTCTTAATGATGGTTTAAAAAAAAATCTGGAAGGTACCAAACAAAACCCTTGTTTCTAATGTTCCAGGCGGAATCTACTGCATTTGCATTCCTCTACTTCTCCTACTGCACAATGAACCTGTGTGTAAGAACATAACAAGAGAAAATATATACTCCACGAATGTGCAGCTCAGCTATCAAACTAAGAAAATAAAATAATGACCACTGTGCCATGTACCTTGGTTTTGTTCACAAAAGTTAGTTGTTATAAACATCTGTTGGAAAAGGAGTAATATGGGCTATGGAGATGCCTAGTTGCTTAGTAAAGGCATTAGTATTATTTTCATGATATTCAACTTACATCTATGCATTTTTGTATTTTTAAGGTTACAGTAGTTACTCCTTCGCAGAATTATAACCAGGCACATAGCAGAACCAGGGCTAGTTATCAAGCATACACCTT